GCTGAGTACGGCCGGTCAGCCAGCTACGGATCCATCTGGTGGTAATGCTGTCTAACCCACATTTTTCTATTTTATCAAGTAGTAGGTTGTGATCTACTTTATCAAATGCCTTACTGAAGTCCAAGTAAATTATATCCACAGCATTCCTCTGATCCACTAATTTTGTCACTTGGTCAAAGAATGCAATAAGATTTGTCTGGCATGATCTGTTTGTCAACGCTGCAAATACTGTATATTCTTGCTTTGACAATGTGCAGAACTGTCTGGTATTTATATAGTTAAACCAGCAACCAGGAAAGGGGGAGGAGCATAAGGATAGCCCGAGAAAGAAACCGGAAGTAAATCATATCTTCCAAGTTGATTGGAAGATGTGAACCATGACCCTAAAATAAGGGAGTGGAAAATGGTTGGGATGTTATGCCTAACGGAAGAGAAGCAGATCTAAGCATTCCACCATGCTGTGCTGACGTATTGTAATCTTAATAAATGCTTTTAGGAGAAAACATGTCTGAAAGTCCTTTCAAGTGTTTCGTTACTCAGACACATGACACTGTTTTTGACAAACCCATGTTGGCTTTTAATAATGACTTTGTTTGCCTCTAGGTGTTCGCTGATTCGTTGTTTGATTATCTTTTCCAGAATCTTCCCATGTGCAATGGAATCACAAGGCAATTTCCATCATCTCATATTATTTGAGGCGTCTAAACTGAGTTTCCTTCTTCTCTTCTGGACCCCAAAATCTTAATATCTAAAATGAAAAGTAAAAAAATCAGAAATAAAATTTTGAATTCTGCTGAAGCATTTGTGGAACCTCTCCTGTGTGGACGCTTTGGTGTACAAAAAGCACAAGAAACTGGGACAAAAAATTACCATGCTGGTTTCGTCATTGTGAAGGTTTCCCCACATCAAAAAAAATGTAGGATTTCCCTTCTGGGACTGTGTGAAGTTCCTGGTGAATTATAAGATCTGCCGTTTCAAAACATGTTTTCCACATTCTTCACAACTGAAGGGGTTTTTCTCTACTGTGGACTTTCTGATGCACTTTTAGCTGAGATTTACAATGAAACGTTTTCTCACACTCGGCACACTTGTAAGGCGACTCCCCTGTGTGACTTCTGATGTGCTTGCGAAGTGATGAAGTTCGGGCGAAACATTTCCCACACTCTGGACATTTATATGGTTTCTCTCCAGTGTGGATTCTCTGATGTCTCACAAGAGTATTTTTTTGAGAAAAACATTTATCGCACTCCGAGCATTTATAGGACTTCTCTCCTGTATGGATTCGGCTATGGTTTCTAAGGGAATATGAATGAGCAAATGCTCTCCCACAGTCTAAACATTTGTAATTTCTTTCCCCTGTATGAGTTTTTAAATGACTTCCAAGGTGTGATGTGGTAGAATAAAATTGTCCACATTCGAAGCATTGATATGGTTTCTCCCCTGTGTGGATTTTATGATGTTTCCAAAGTGCTCCCTTCTGAGCAAAACATTTTCCACATTCTAGGCATCTGTATGGTTTCTCTCCTGTGTGGAGCCTCTGATGCCTTCCAAGGCTTTGTTTTAGGGAAAAGCACTTTCCACACTCCTCACATTTGTATGGTTTTTCCCCTGTGTGGATTCTCTCGTGAAACTGAAGCTCTCTTTGCGTAACAAAACATTTCTCACATTCCCCACATTGATAGGGTTTCTCCCCTTTGTGTCTCTTCTGATGTCTCTGAAGTTCAGAAGAACACATAAATCGTTTCTCACATTCTGGGCATTCATAGGGTTTTTCTCCAGTGTGACGTCTCTGATGCTGCACCAGGCTTGATTTGTCGGAAAAAGATTTCCCGCAATCGAGACACTTTTCGTTTTTCTCCCCTCTGTGTGTTTTCTCATGATTCTGAAGAGATGAACTCAGGGTGAAACATTTTTCACACTCAAAGCATTTGTAAGATTTTATTCCTGCATGAACCTTCTCATGGGCCCAAAGACTTGCTTTCCAAGAAAAGCTCCTCCCACATTCCCAGCACTTGTAAGGTTTCTCCCCTGTGTGAATCCTCTCGTGGTTTCTGAGGGTGCCTTTACTCCTGAAAAATTTCCCACATTCCAGACACTGATAGGGTTTCTCTCCAGTGTGGATTTTCTGATGCGTGAGAAGGTGTGAAGTTTGAGGAAAACATAAGCCACATTGCTCACATTTATAGGGCTTTAGTCTGGGGGACCTTCTGCAATCTTTCATGTTTTTTCCAGAGAAGGATTTCTCGCCCTCCAAACCTTGACTGGATCCGCTTCCCAGATGGACCTTCCTGTGGGTCAAAAGGACGGACCGGCGAGCAAAGGATTTCCCACACTCTGAGCATTCATGGGTTCTTTTGTGGTTTTTCAGAGTGCTGCTTCTGTCTCACAGGGGATCCAAGAGTTTCCCGCCCTCCATGAGTTCTGTCGGCTGCTGCCTTGCGCTGATTTTCTACTATCTCTTGAAAGGTGACTTGCAAGTGAACCTTTGGTCAGAGTTGTTTTCCTGCTGGTGGAAAAAGAAAGAAGACGAGAATAATGTTTCCTTTCGACAATGGTAGAGAATCACAAAATCATAGCCTTGGAAGGGACCATGAAGGTCTTCCAGTCCTACCCTCTGACCAGGGGAGAGGTCCACAGTACACCCCAGACAAAACCTCCATTGATTCCATCACCCCACATCCCACGGAGGCAAACTCTTCTGCTGTTCACTGACTCTATCTTTTCCTCCTTGGTTCTCGTCCTATGACGAGGTGAAAAAGAAGCCCTGAAACTTTAGGTAGGAGGAAGGCCCAGGCAAGGGACGTGGGCGTGTCTGGGGGGTAGGGGGAGGTCCGGGAGACCAGGCTCAGTTCAGCCATGAGTTCGGGAGGTGATGAAGTGGGATGCACAGCTGCAGCCACCCCTGGAAGCCTGAGCCACCCCATCCAGACCATGGAAAGCAGCCCCGGTGGACAGTAATGCCGGGGCTGGGCCTTAAGTGGAGGCCTGGGGTCACTGAACCCAGACCTGGACTTCAGCCCACTGTCACCTCAGCCACTGAGAATTGAGGCCTTAATCCCCACAACGGAGGCCTTTGCAGCCTTGCGCCATTCTCCAAGTCATGTGTTCCATATGTGTTTCCAAGCAACGTGTCCCAAAGCATCTGTAAGCGTCTCCAGGACCTCCTTAAGTCAAACGTGGCCTGTGCCAGGACTCACAAATGCCTCTCCTGAACACTTCAGGCAAGCCCACATTCCTATCTGGGACTCATCTGCTCAACAACATGTGAAATTGCTTAACAGCCACAACCTCAGGATTGCAGTCACTGAGCCAAACTCTCACGTGACATCTTAACAACCAAGACTCCAGTGCCAATTGTGGTCATAAGTCCAGGACAAACTGAGGATATACCAAAAACTAAGGCATCACATACGCAAAAGGGAAGGAAAAAGAATTCAGAACACATTTCTGATTCTTATCCTTTGTTTCTGGTCCTTGGGACTTTTGCACTTATGAGCTCCATCCCATCATGACTTCTTGATTCCTCCTTCCTTGCGAGACATTTATTTTATAATATATTACAAAAAAGGGGAAAAAATAGATCCAGCAAACTGCAGACCGATCAGCCTGATATCAGTACCTGGGAAGATCCTGGACAAGATGATCAAGCAAGGAATCTGCGAAAGCCTAGGAAAAAAATTACTAGAAGCCAATGTGGGTTTGTCAAAAACAGATTATGCCAGAAAAAACTTACTGCAGTCTTTGTCAAAGTGACTAAAATAGTGGAATGGTGAAATTCAATGGATATACTATACTTGGATTTCTGTGAGGCATGTGACAAAGCCGACCACAGTCTACTTCTTGGTAACACACAAAAAATGTGGGATAGACACCATCACCACCAAAGGGATTCATAATTGTGTGGACCAATCGCACTCACCATGTAGTCCTCAATAGAACTACATTATGGTTTCACCCAAACACAATTTCTCTGCATTGCTCTTTTCTCCAATAAAGTTTTTAAAAATATATGCTTATTCTCCAAACCAAGATTTAACCAAGATTTGTTTACTCACCTTTAAAGTTACAACTAAGAGGTCTCTGGGTCACTTGTTCTGCCCTGTGGGTCAAGGTCAGGTATGGCTCTCATTGATGACCAGTTTGATTTCTCCTTAATCCATTGGCCCTTTCTGAAGGAAGCTGCTTCTCCAACTGGACCACGATTTCCAAATTCTCTAGAATGGAGTCCCGGCCAAATGTTGATGGGTCCCGATCCAAAAACGCCCCCTTCTCCTCTGTGGAGCTCATGGACACGTCCTCATTGGTCTCCTGCAAAGAGAAATGCGAAAGGCTCAGATGCCGACAGTAATCTGAATATAATCTGGAAACGACGTAGAAAAGGGATGAGAATATGGAATTATTTGTTGAGGATATAAAATAATGGAGATAGAATCCTGATTTGAAGAAGATCTTGATGAGCCAAAATGGAAGAAACCAGCAAGATGAAGTCCAACAGGGACCAAGGCAGAGTTGTGAGTAGGGAAACTCAAAGGGAGATCAGAGAGATCAGATGGGGCAGAGCATGTGTGGAAAGGGCTGCTCTTTCCTGCTCTTGTTGGAGGCTGCAAGGGCCACAAAAATTCCAGGTAGGCATTTCGAAAAATATTTACAATTAAAAAAAGCAGCCTTTTGGCCATCGGCTTATTTTATTACCTGTTCACAAGACCAGCCTCAAAAAGACGTAAACTGGACACACCGCTTAAAGCAATGGAATTTTTTGACAATCATAGAGCATTCTTGGAAAAAGGCGATCCTGAACCCAAGAAATGGCAGCTGAAGGAGTGGCTAAACCAGGGGTGTCAAACTTAATTTCACTGAGGGCCGCATCAGCATTGTGGTTGCCCTCGGGGTGTGTGTGTGTGTGGCCAGGGTGAGTGTGGCCTACTGGGTGGGCATGGACAGAGTGGGTGTGGCCTACTGGGTGGGCGTGGCCAGCTGTACATCGTTCGCGTCAAGGGTGCCTGTGGGGGCCTGGGCAGGAGCGGGACACATCTGAGGGTCTCTGGCAGAAGGGGGTGGGACCAGGGCAAGTGCCAAGGCATGGTCCACTGGAGGAGCCTCACTGTTCCTCTCAGGCCATGCGTGGGGGGCTGGATGGTGGTGCGGGCTGCCCGGAGCCCTGGGCAGCAGAGGTCAAAGGCTCAGCCTGGCCCTTGAGCACCTGCGGCACCAAGCCGTTTCCAGACGGCCTTGTGGAGCTAAAACTGAATACGTTTCAGCATAGATGGCCACCACAAAATTGTACATTGGCTCCCGGATGGCCTGGGCCAGGGCCAAGGCAGCGGGGGCCATTTCCTCATTGTTTCCAGGATGGCTTCGCGGGCCACATGAAACCACTTCGCGGGCCGCATCCAGCCCCCGGGCCTTGTGTTTGACATGCCTGGGCTAAACAAACAGAGGAGGAAGAAGTTAAAAACACATATTCAGAAGAAGGAGCAAGACCGAGAGACCAGAGACAGATACGATCAACTAGAAGACTGAGACCTAGATATAACTGAAAGATATAGAGGAGATTGGAATTTTATCAATAAATATAAATGGACTGAACTCTCCTTCAAAAAGGAGATTTTTTTTTTACATGACCACAAAAATTAAAAATGGACATAATTTGCCTCCAAGAGACACATATTAAGAGACAACATTTTAAAATTTTAGAACAACCGAAAATGGGCAAACTTTATTTTACACTCGCCTCTCAAAAGAGGAATAGCCCTTTATATTAAAGAAAAGATGAATCCCAAACAAATGTATGCAGATGAAGAAGGGAGAATACTAATGGTGGAAATCATGGTGGACCAAAAACAGATATTGATGGTAGCAATATACGCACCTAATGATAAGCCTAAGACTGAAAATCAGGCTTGTCAGATGCTATATTTTTTCTATCCTGCTCTATGGAGTAGAGCAGGGGTAGTCAACCTTGTCTTTTATGACTCGTGGACTTCAACTCCCAGAATTCCTGAGCTAGCTATGCTGAGGGGAAATGGAGAGGTTTCCATGCTGAGCCATACTGGCTGAGGAATTCTGGGAGTGGAAGTCCACGAGTCATAAAAGAGACAAGTTTGACTACCCCTGGAGTAGAGAGTTGGTTTCTGACAGGCCACCTGAAGAGACTAGAAACATTTGAAATGTGGATTTACAGGTGGCTGTTACGTATAAGCTTGGTTGACAAGATCAGAAATGAGGAGGTGATAAGCCGCCTGGGAAAGCCAAGGGAAATCATCCAAACAATTAAAAAACGAAAATTAGAATATTTCGGACATGTGTTGCGACACCCAGAAAAATACGGCATACTCCATTTAATCCTCCAGGGAAAGATTGAAGGCAAACGAGGCCCAGGCAGAAGAAGAACATCGTGGCTTCAAAATCTAAGGGACTGGTTTGGACAAAACTCAGCAGCACTTTTTCGTGCAGCTGCTGATAAAAACAGGATCGCCAACATCCAATAACGGATATGGCACAAGAAGAAGAAGAATGATAAGCAAGAGCAATTCTATCAACAACTACACAAGAAAATATTGGACTTAAATTACCAAAATCTTTGTATAACGGGAGACTTCAATGCAATAGTAGATGCGACTCTGGACTACAAAAGCCATAAACAAGGGAGAAAAGGAGGAAATATATTACCTAAAGCGTTTTCAAAAATGAAAGAAGAATTGTGTATCCAAGACCTATGGAGACAGAGAAACCCAGAAAAACCACAATATACATTCTATTCAAACAGACATAAATCATGGTCTAGAATTGATATGATATGGACATCTTTCGACTTGAAAATGATAATACAAGAGGTGGAGACAGAAACTAATGTTTGGGCAGACCACAACCCAATAAAAATAACCTGGAAAGGAACCGAGAAAAAACTAAGATGGTCTCTGAATAAATCTATATTGAAGGAAAAAGAATTCTTACAACTAGCAACAAAGGAAATGGGTTTTTAAAAAAATAAATAAGAAAGAAGAAGCATCCCTCCAAAATGTATGGGAGACGGCTAAAGCATATTTTAGAGGGTTGGCCATAACTTACACCTCTAAAAAGAATAAAGAAAAGAAACTATTACAGTTAAAACTGAGAGAAGAACTTAAAAAATTGGAACTAGAGTTACAAGTAGACCCACAAAAGAAAATCCTCAAGAAACAAATGAAGATAATAAAACATAAATTAAACCTGGCTGAGATGGATATAATGGCACAGCAGATTAAACGGTCTAAATAGAACTTTTTTGAAAATGCCAATAAGCCGGGGAGATGGCTAGCATATAGATTGAAGAAAGAGAAAGAAAAAAGAATAAGCTACAAGATTCAAAAGGAGAATTACAATTCCACAATTTTGCAATGAAAAAAAATCATTAAAGATTACTATGAGACACTTTATAATAATAATTATAATAATAATAGTAAAGTTGGAAGGGACCTTGGAGGTCATCTAGTCCAACCCCCTGCTCAGGCAGGAAACCCTATACCATTTCGGACAAATGGCTGTCCAGTCTCTTCTTAAAAACTTCCAGTGTTGGAGCATTCACCGCTTCTGGAGGCAGGTTGTTCCACTGGTTAATTGTTCTCACTGTCAGCAAGTTTCTCCTTAGTTCTAGGTTGCTTCTCTCCTTGATTAGTTTCCACCCATTGCTTCTTGTCCTGCCTTCAGGCGCTTTGGAAAATAGCTTGACTCCCTCTTCTTTGTGGCAGCCCCTGAGATACTGGAACACTGCTATCATGTCCCCCCTTGTCCTTCTCTTCATTAAACTAGACATACCCAATTCCAGCAGCCGTTCCTTATATGTTTTAGCCTCCAGTCCCCTAATCATCTTTGTTGCTCTTCTCTGTACTCTTTCTAGAGTCTCAACATCTTTTTTACATTGCGGTGACCAAAACTGGATGCAGTATTCCAAGTGTGGCCTTACCAAGGCATTGTAAAGTGGTATTANTTCTATCCCTCTGTTAATGCAGCCTAGCACTGTGTTGGCCTTTTTGGCAGCTGCAGCACACTGCTGGCTCATATTTAGGTGATTGTCTACTAGGACTCCGAGGTCCCTCTCACAGTTACTACTATTGAGCAAGGTGCCACCTATGCTGTACTTGTGCATTTGGTTTTTCTTGCCTAAATGTAGAACCTTGCTTTTTTCACCACTGAATTTCATTTTGTTAGGTAGTGCCCAGTGTTCAAGTCTGTCCAGATCCTTCTGTATCTTAAGCCTATCTTCTGGAGTGTTGGCTATTCCTGCCAGCTTGGTGTTGTCTGCAAATTTGATGAGTTCCCCATCTATCCCCTCGTCCAAATCGTTGATGAAGATGTTGAAGAGAACTGGGCCCAGAACAGAGCCCTGGGGCACCCCACTACACACTTCCCTCCATGTAGATGCGGTTCCATTGAGGACCACTCGCTGAGTACGGCCGGTCAGCCAGCTATAAGGCAGAGGAAGTTCCTAAAGAGAAAATACAGTCGTACTTAAAAGAAACAGATTTGCCAAAAATCCCAGAGACTATTCGAAATATACTAAATGAGAAAATATCAATAATGGAGATTATAGAAGCTATAAAAAGACAAAAAAATAAGACTCCAGGTCCAGATGGACTTCCTGCAGAATTTTACCTAGCATTACAAGTCGTATTAAGTCCGATGCTGAAAGAACTGTGTAATGAAATCTTTTTGGAGACTAAAATACCAAAGTCGTAGACTGAAGCTAATATTATTTTGATACCCAAAGAAAATACCGACCTTACACAAATAAAAAACTACAGACCAATATCGCTATTAAATGCGGACTATAACTTTTTTGCTTCGATAATAGCAGAAAGAATTAAGAAATTCTTGACTGAATTTATACATACAGATCAAAATGGCTTTTTACCTAAAAGACAGATAAAAAATAACTTAAGAATGATTTTGGATGTTTTAGAATACTATGAAAATCACCCAGGGGAACAGATGGCATTAATATTTCTTGATGTGCAAAAAGCTTTTGATAACTTAAATTGGCAATTTATGTTCCAGCAGTTGATGGAAATGGACTTTGGGAAAAACTTTATAAATGTAATTCAAGCAATTTACCATAAACAAACGGCTAGAATAATTCTAAATGGAGATTATACAGAAAACTTTGACATCAAAAAAGGTACAAGACAGGGATGTCCATTATCTCCATTGTTATTTATATTAACACTGGAAGTATTGACCAGAAATATTAGACAAGACATAGAAATTAAAGGACTGGAGATAAAAGAATAAAAATATAAATTACAAGCCTTTGCGGATGATTTGGTTTTTAT